ACCTGCAGCGGCACGCGGATCGCTGCGCTGTTGCCGCCTGCACATTTGGTAAAAAAAAGCACAAGAGGATTAAAGTTTTAGTGGGAAGAGAAAGAGATTAGGATGACAGAAGATTATTCAAGTAGGAGTAAGCAGTAAGAGTAAGCAGAATGAATAGCCTTCGGATATAAGAAATCGGAGACAGGCTCAAAAACTTCAAACAACAAAGGTGTTTAAGGCGACGGAGACTAGTAAGCAACAAATGCATTTTAGGCAAGAGAGGAATAGGCAAAGAAAAAAGCAATAACAAAGTGTTGGAACCCCAAACCCAAGCCCTTAACCTTAACAGGACCCCGTATATGTATTTTCAAGAAACAAAGGAAAACCAAAAGGGTAAAGGAGACGAACAAAGTGTGTTTTTATTCCAAGGAGACAGGTGAGTAATATATAATACAAAGGAATTAGCTTCTTATAGGCTGAGAAGTCTAAGCGAGTTCTTCATACAGCTAAATTCTAGCCCCTAAACTCTGAAATATACAGCATAAAAAAAGTACAGAAGTCTTGTGTTAACAAAAACTTTGTTTGACTTCTTTAAAATATTTGTTGCCTAGTAAGAAGTGTCTCCTTCAGTCAAAGGGGACAGCAAAATTCTGAATAGGAGACATTTCTTCCTAACAACCGCTTTGTTGCCATGTCTCCTGTACCCCAAACAATAGATACTAAACCCTGCTATAGAAGCACTGTGTCTCCGCAGTAACTCTAAACTTTTCTCTAAGACCCTGAGCTAAACCCTAAACCCTAAACCCTAAACCCTAAGAGTGAAGCCCCTTCTCCCCTCAATAGCGGTAAGTGCATATCTGGGACATAAATACTGAAAACTAAACATTTCATGTGAACCTCTCTCTTCTCCACTTTAAAATTATTCTCAAGAAAAAACCCTCCAGGGGACTGCAGTTTGTCTTGCAGCACTTCCTGCAGCAGCAGCGTCTGTTGCCGGGGTGAACATCGAGTCCTCATACGCTGCTTGCGCAGGTGTTGCTGCAGCAAGAGCAACAGCAGCAGCAGTAGCAGCAGCGGAATGTGCTGCAGCAGCTGCTGCGAGGACTACATTAATACAGATCGGTTTGGTGCACAAAGATGGAAAAGTAAAAGAAAAGAAGACACAGTTAGAGACCCTGGAGAAACAAAGAAGGGTGAGCAATAGCTCAGAAGATAAATGCATGCATGCATGCATGCATGCATGCATGCATTCATCTTCTTCATTTGAAATATAGTGTAGCCAGTTAACTCAGGCATAAAAGCCAAAACCCACAACAGCGCAGAGAAATATCAACAAACAACCCCCCAAAAGTCAACGATGAATGCTCAAGGAGAGGAACAATATAGACAAGCAAAGAAGCACACAAAAGAGACAAACAACTGAAAAGAGACAGCAAGTAAAGAATGAGAGAAGGAGCATGCACAAGGAAACAGTCTAACCCTCATCAGCACCGGCAGCAGCAAAAGTGCTGCTGCTCACAGCAGCAGCTGAAACAGCAGCAGCAGCAGCAACTGCTGCTGCTGTAAATCCTGCTGCTGATGACGGCGATCGTGGAGGAGAGGGGCCTAGGCGCTGGCGTTGTTTGTTTCGTCAGTGATGGGCATAGCAGCAAACGCACCTTCACCTTCAGCTGCAGCAGAGATAACTTGAGTTGCTGCTGCAGCAAGTGCAGCAGCAACTGCAGCAGCAGGAAGAGCAGATGCGTGTCTGCTTTGCTTGTTTAGATTGCGTTTTTTTTTCTGTCTCCTCTCTGTCTCCTCCTTCTATACCTCATCATCATGGGTTTTCTGCTCTTTTGGGGGCTTTCTTTTTCCGCAGCTGCAGCACATTAGGGAGTGTAAGCCCAGTGAGGTTCTCAAGAGCTTCTATATTAACTGCATGTGGTGTTTCTCTTAATACTTCTTCTTCTCTCTCCTCCTGAGACATACGCGGTGGTTCTGCTGGTGCTTTTGGCCTTATAGCTGGTAGTGTGCCGACATCGAAGTGGGGACAGAAATCTGCTTCTCTTCTTTCTGCTCTTTCTAGTGTTTTATATATTTGGTTTTCTGTATCTTGTAGTGCCTCCATATGAGCTTCATGTACACTCTTTAGGATTTCTTCATCGTCTCCATATTCTTCTTTTCTTCTCTTTGCTTCTGTTATAGCATTCAAGAAACTTTGGTTAACTGTCTCCGCTATACTTTCTCTGCTTATAGACAACAACCATATTTGTTTTTTCTCTAGATATTTCACTGTCTCCTCGAGCTTCACCAGATATGAATGAGCTGCAACAAGCGTCTGCGGCAACTCTACACACCAATACCGAGAAGCAGAAAGTACATTAAGTCCTTGTCTCAGTTCATCAGCACTTTGCTCGTATGCTTCTTTTTGTATTTCAAGAGCATACAACTCCCCCTCTATCTCTTGCCATCTGTTGTTTATATGTTGCTGCTGCAACTCCCCAGCAGGCCCCTCTGATGCTCTCTGTATTAGCAGTGCTACTGGTAGCTGCTGCAGTGTCTCCGTCAACCTAAACCCCCAAAGAAGATGCTGAGCTTTGCTGCTTGAGAGCCGTATCTCTGTGTAGCTCTCTAGGATTTCTCTTAGTGCTATAAGAGAATCATCAACATTTCTTTCTAAGAAACCCAACCATGCATGCTGAGGGTCACCTTCACCAGCGAGATATGTAAACATATCTGGGGAGAAATCATAGTATTTATGCCTCATTCTTCTTAGTAATCTTAATCTATCATTTATTCTTTTTGTTCTATTCTCTATAGAAGCAAACGCAACAGCTTCAGGCTCCTCTACCTGCTCCTTTAGCTTTCTACGTAGATTCTCAACACCTCTCTCTAGCTGTTGTATATACTGCTGCATCTCTGGTATTGCTGCATACAGGTGACCCAGACCATCATCTACTGCTTTCTTTCTTTCTACTTTATCATCGATACGTTTCTCTGCTGCAATCACTGCATCTCTCGCAACACGAACAGACTCAGGGTCTTGCAGGTGAGATACTTCTTCATCAGCCCCCATAGCTGCACCGAACGCCTCCTGTCCCCCCCCAAAAGGAGACAGTGGGTCTCCGTATGGAGACAGCGGGCCTTCACCAGAAGGAGACAGTAGGTCTCCAACAGCAGGAGACATGGGGTCACCTGCAGCACCAATGGTGGGTGTTCCGTACCCACTAGGATATGGAGGCACCGGCGGCGGCATATCCCGTGAAGCATTCAATCTATCAGCTAGAGCCAGAGCTCCTGCTGCTTTTAGTTCTTCATCAGTAACAAAAGCTTTTGCTTTGAGTAGTGTATAAAGGGCCTTAGCGAGTTGAACTTCTTCTGCGTTTCCAGCTGGTATCTGTGCCTCTGCTTCTAGTGTTTTATATTTTTCATCCATCAATACTAACTCCTGTCTCGCCTGCAGCAGCTCCCGCTCCTCTGGGTATAGCTTTGCCTGCTCCTCCTCAAGAAAAGGATATATCTCTATAGGGGGCTCTGGCGGCGTCAGCAGCCTATCGAGAGACTGCTTGTATCTCTCTAGCTCCTCCTGTGCATCCTTCAGCACCATCTCTCTTACCATGTATAGAGAGGGGGCCTCTCGCAGGTCTTCTAGCTCTTCTTCTAGTTTTCTTGCTTCTCTTTCTATATCTTGTATTTGTTTCATTAGTACCTGTTCCTCACTTGGTTGCTGCTGCT